AAGGATGCTCATGAAATGAAACTGGCCTATGAGTCCTTAGGCAGCTTTCAAAGGGGTCAAGTGTGGCTCAAGAATATTTAGAGAAATGAGATGAAAAGAAGCAGAGACTGTTGCGTGCATGTACAAGGGAAGGAAATAACACTCATTATCTTCTCAATTACTCAGTAGGGAGGAGGAGTTTGGATTTGATATCCCGCTTTATCACTCCCCTTCAGGAGTCTCAAAGCAGCTAACATTCTCCTTTCCCTTCCTCCCCCACAACAAACACTCTGTGAGGTGAGTGGGGCTGAGAGACTTCAGAGAAGTGTGACTGGCCCAAGGTCACCCAGCAGCTGCAGGTGGAGGAGCGGAGACGCGAACCCGGTTCACCAGATTATGAGTCTACCGCTCTTAACCACTTGGGCAGAGGAAGAAGAGAAAAATGGAGCATCAGCACAGCATGCAAAGTCCCCATCATATGGACTTGTACTAAGACTAAAGCCTTCGGGGACATGATATATAATGAACTGGAAAAGGTCTTTAAAAAATACTTTTATTAAAAAACCAGAGGCGTTTTTACTGGGTATAATAGAAGAAATTCCTTTAAAAAGACATAACTATATTTATGTATGCTGCTACAGCTGCAAGGACACTTTTAGCACAGAAATGGAAGCAGCAGGAACTTCCAACTTTGGAAGAATGGCAGGCTAAAATGATTGAATACGCAGAACTGGCAAAGCTGACAGGGAAGATTCAAAACCAGCGTGATGAACTGTTTGAAAAGGACTGGAGTAAATTTATACAATGAAAGAACATTGTAAATATCTGCAAACGTTTGCAGGTCTTACTTAAAATATTTTGTAATGTTGATATGTGGAACTGGTTTACAAATACAGTGGTGCGCCGCAAGACGAATGCCTCGCAAGACAAAAAACCCGCTAGACGAAAGGGTTTTCCGTTTTTGAGTTGCTTCGCAAGACGAATTTCCCTATGGGTTTGCTTCGCAAGACAAAAACGTCTTGCGAGTCTTGCGATTTTTTTCGCTCCCCCCCCCTTTTTCTAAGCCGCTAAGCCTTTAATAGACGCTAAGCCGCTAAACCGCTAATAGCGCTAATCCGCTAAGCCACTAATAGGGTTGCTTCGCAAGACGAAAAAACCGCTAGACGAAGAGACTCGCGGAATGGATTAATTTCGTCTTGCGAGGCACCACTGTATGGAGGTAAATTTCTTTAAGGATAAAAAGAAGGTTAATCAGGTGAGATAGGAATGCTAAGACGAAAGGGTATACCTATGAAAGCCAGGGAGTGGGGGGGGGAGTTGATGCTCAGGATGAGCAAAGATGTAAGTGATGTTATGATTTCGTTGGTATGTGACAAAGTATAAAATTTAATTAAAAATATGTTTAAAAAAAAGTCCCCATCATATACAGCAAGGGCAGTGCTATATTTCTAGAAAAATTGGTGACAAAACTCACCACTGAACACCACCCTCGTTCTCTTTAATTGGGAACTGTGACCACTGGTTGTGGCTTTTTATTTACTCAAAACGTCTTAATCCTACCCTTCAACTAAAAATAACACCTCAAGGAGTTTGCAAATATTAATAATAAGACAGCCCCTGCCCCCAAGTTTATAATCTAAAAATGCATGGCACAAAAGGAAAGGAGATGAGTGGGAATGAGAGGGAAAGCAAACTCAGGCACTTTCTCGGTTACAGAGTTATTGTAATGACCATCTGGAATGGAAAGATTTCAAGGAACAAAAAGTTGCTGGTCTTTCAGTAGAGCCGATGGGAATTGGAGTCCCACAACATCTGGAGGGACACGGCTTAACCATTTTTGGTATATACAGTGGATTTTTAATTCAAAAACTGAGGAGAGAAGGCAGAGTACAGATGCTGAAAGCCTGTCCATACCAATAAAATGATTTTTACAAGAGAGCAAGAGAGATGGAAGTTTCTGATTACTCTCAATAGATCTAGACCACCCACAGGAGCAGGTCAGAAAGACTGACTGCTGTAGTTTCTGTAGCAACTGCAAATAAAATCCCAAAGAAGACTATCAGGAACAGCTTGTCCATTCTAAAATATATAATTTTTGGTTTGGTTTGGTTTTAAGATTGAAAAACCTACATTCTCTTATTGAGTTTTGAACAATGATACACCAATAAAATATTATTATAACAATACCCACAAGAACAAACTAACAAAACTACCCTGTGTTGCATCCAGGAACTTCCCGAAAGAAATTAAATGTGGAAAGCAACCATTTCCCCCTAATTATCACTGCCTTCCTAGCAATACTTCTGAGCTTTTAATAAGCTTTTCTACTAGATTACATGATGTATATTCAGATCTTTGCCATGTGACTATTTTTGTTAACTGACTTTCTTTTCTACCATCTCCTATTCTCGCAGGGTGTTTTATACCAGTTGTGTACCAGGGGCTCTTGTCTTGTTGCTTCGTTTTGTTTATCTGTGATTTATGCTGAATGATGATTTCATTCCCTGCACTGTTCCAAGAGAGCAGCGTGACACTGATGGGCCTTTCCAGGCACATTTGGTCTCCTGGGAGGACCACGCAGCGGTTTACTGCTGTAGGTAGCCGAACGACATCAGGCAAATGTCTCTCTTGTGAAATAACAACTCTTTAACAACAACTATACATCTAGCTGTAGTTGCTAATTAACAGGGATTCCTTCCTCCAACTAGGACAGCTACTGCAGGTCCTTTGTTGTGGGAAAGATGACAGTTGCTGTCCCAGGAGCTCCCTCTGATGGGGGTGAAAGGGGGCATGTATCCTGGGAAATAGGTTGGGGGGGGCGTGGCAAACAGCATCACGTGTGTGTGTGTGTGTGTGTGTGTGTGTGTGCGCAAGCAACGTAGGACAAACTTGGCACAAACTTATTCATCCAGCAGAAGTAGAGAAATCTCTGTCCTTGGCTGCCATGACTAAAATGCTGGCCAGCAAAAGTGACAAAACCCCAAGGTCCTTCTATTTGCAAATGCACTTTGTTATCCCTCGCTTTACGTTTTCAATTCATACATAACTGAATCGAATGAATTTTCCTTAAGCACAGGAGAGGTATGGGGCGTACTGGAATCTGGCTGTTCATTTTTTGAATACATGGACTTTATGATTCTCGCTGCCAGGAAAAATCACATCCCCCACTTCCAGTTTTGTAGATTCGTTGGCTCAGGAATATTTGTTGCAATAAACATTTGCTGAAATTTGTTGTCGTTAGCCAAGTTGGAAGAACTTAAGAAGATGGGGTGGGGGAATATAATAACCTGACCTTTCTGCCAAAAGAAAAAAAAGAAAAAGGTTTTTCATACCACATCATCCAGTCTTTGTGGGGGTCTAGGCAGGGGACTTGTCCTGTACTAATATTATAATCAGTGTTTGTGGGGTGAATCAGTGTTGGCATAATTACTCAACAGTTACAATTCAGTGTCAAAGGGCCTTCATTAAATCAAAGCTGCTGGATACTGTTTAGTTGCCTCCCTTTCAGCCCCCCTCTATTACCTGTTTTTTCTGTGACAACACATTTTTATATGCAACAATAACATCCAATAGATTTTTTAAAAAAGATGTTGGTTTCAAGTTGTGAAACTCTCATTATTACGCTGACTGCAAATGTCCCAAATCACTATTCTACTTGGGCTACAGTCCTATGCATGCCTCATTTGGGAACAAGTTCTGATTAATTTTCCAAGCCAGCTTCCATTATTCAAATGTTTGATCATCCCAAATCTATGGGTTTTTAAGCCATTCCGAGCTGGCTGTATTGAATTTCTTTCAACAGATTAGCACAGGCATTCATAATTTTGTTACCAGTTTGTCTTTCTGTAACCATTTCCTCTAATAGCTGTAGAACTTGCACTTTGGCATCTTACAATTTGTTTCTGCAACCGCCGTAAGCAGCAGAGATGAAATAGTAGAGATAACAAATAAATATTGGTGTGATGTTGCCTGTTGGTTAGAAATCATGAACAAAACCTGGTGGCCGATCCTGTTTTGCAGAACAAGTACAAACCAGAGTTGCCCAGTTTAAACAGTGTGGCAAAGAATGGTTTACCTCAAATTAGAAAAGGGAGGAAGGAACATTCTATCCTAAAACTCCTTGAAGACTCATTCAAATAATGCCAAACCACCGTTTAGGCCAGGGATGAGGAACCTGTGACCCTCCAGATAGTGCTGGACTCCTGCTGTCATAATCCTCTATTTTTGCTAGCCGAAGCTGGTGGGATTTGGAATCCAACAGCACCTGAAGGACCACAGATTCTCCACCCCTGGTTTTAGGCATTGCATCTGAACTAGCCAAAGAACCACATGTGGGACCTGACTGGGCATAAAATGTGGACACATTGTGGCCGCGAGGGCCAAATCTTAGTAAAGGGCAGGCATGGGAAGAAAGGATGAACTGGGAACTTAAGCATGAATAGGTAGACAGCCATAGGCATGACCAGTAGGATAAGTGAGGAAGACCCAAAAGATCCAGGAACTCAGCAGCATTTAACTTTGAGAATTTAGTTGCCAGCCTAATTTCAATTTTAAACTAGCTTGAGACTTGTTTGCATTCAATTTAACTGTTGTTGGCTCCCCCCAAGCAAAATTTTGGAGTCATAAATGTGTGTGTGTGTGTGTGTGTGTGTGTGTGTGTGATGTTGCGGAGGATTAAATTTTTAAGGAATCCCTAGCCCTACAGTCCCCAAGGCTCTTTGATTAAAAGCTATGTCAGGCTTGAAGCTAGTTTCTGTACATAATGTTCATGTGCTCTAAAGCCATCTGTGGACACTAAAATTAATGTTACTTGCTGTCAGAAGAGCAATGGCAGAATTCCCTCACTGACACCCAGAGAAGATTTGATAGATTGCTCATGTTCGCATTACAAGGAACAGCATCCTGGGCTAAACTGTCGGCAGCCATGAAGAGTAGGACACCTGCTAGATTCCTCAAAACTTTGTTTCCTTTGTTTTAAAAAGAAAAGAAAAAGATCACCGTTTGTTGCTTTGGCTTCACAGAACGAGCGGCAGGAGTGTACCATAGAGAAGCAAGGTCTGGAAAATACCAGCTCACGTATGCAGAAGCAAAAGCAGTGTGTCAGTATGAAGGAGGACATCTAGCCACATACCAGCAGCTGGAGGCTGCAAGGAAAATAGGTATGAGCACGCAATATATGGGATCATTTGGCAGTCCGGTCCAGCAGGAATTCTCCTGCATGCCACAAAGTCCCCCAAAGTGAAGAAGAGCTACATAAAACCACTGGGCTTTTAGTGAGGAAACTTCCTACTGTGGCATTCCTGTGCTGACTGTGGCTGATGGGAGTTGTAGTCCAAAACATCTAGAAGGCAAGAGATAGGGGAAAGCTGCCCAGAGTGCATTTTGTCCTTTGATGTTCACACAAACTCGCAATGTTGATTGTTCACTGATTGAGTCTGATTTCAGTTCACTCATCTGTTTCCTTTTCTGTTAAAAACACATCTGTACGAACAATGCTGTTTGTTACAGAAATTGACATGTAAGTAGTACCGAAGATGAAAGTTTAAGAATCCTATGGACATGGATTGAATTCAGTTTGGTTTTATTAACCTCCATTACAGTGGTACCTCGGCTTACATACGTTTCAGGTTACATACGCTTCAGGTTACAGACTCCGCTAACCCAGAAATAGTACCTCGAGTTAAGAACTTTGCTTCAGGATGAAAACAGAAATCGGGTGGCGGCAGTGCGGCGGCAGCAGGAGGCCCCATTAGCTAAAATGGTGCTTCAGGTTAAGAACAGTTTCAGGTTAAGAACAGACCTCCGGAATGAATTAAGTACGTAACCAGACGTAGCACTGTATATCAAGGCTGCCCACTATCTGCAATGTGCTGCTTGGCTGCAGGTCATAGCTAATTCAATGGGACTTACATCCAAGTGGGAAAGGTATGTGCAGCACAATCCTGTACAGTGTCTACTCTGAAATAAGCCCCATTGAGTCCCATGGAACTTGCTCCCAAGTTAATGGGTACAGGAATGGAGTAAAAGGGATAATTGTTGGAGCTGCTATTCACAACTGATGTGTGAGCTCAAGAATCAATTAATATAAATGGCTTCAATGAAATGAAATGTGCACAACCCGACACAGCATGTGAAGAGGCCTAGAAAGATGCAATCTGGCGACAAAGCAAGCAACCAAAATGATTAATTGCCAGACCATTTGATAAAGGAGTACAGTGTGTGATAAATGGCCCTATCACACACTTCTGACTCTTTTGCTAACTCCTCCACCTAGAAAGTTATCACTCTAAGTTGTAGTACAATTTTCTATATCTCAAGACACACCTGGGACATGTCAGCCTCTCAATTTTAGGCTGAGATGCTTATTTCATAGAGCTGAAACTCCCAGACTTGTCAGCACTAAGGTAGTCTTAAGCAAGGTGGTAATAGGCTGTTTTTCTCTACATCTCTACATCCACGGGCTTCTATTTGCACTAGTGTGATGAGTGATATTAACCTGGAGAATACCGAAGATAATGCCAGGCAACAGAGATGCAACAGAGGTAACTGCCTTAGGGAGCGAATGCCCGAATTTCAGTAACTCAGTGACTTACAAAAGTCCGACATCTTTAAAAAGCAGTTCTAAGACTAAGATCTAGTAAGCATCTGCATCCAATTGTTGTTTATTAGTTTAAAGTGAAAACAGCCCTTTCCATTGTTAAAAAAGATGACACATTTTCTAATAAAATAAAATAAATGAAGCATACACGCGGCATTTTCTGTGTCCAGGGTGGAAATTGTTTCACTTGCTTGGCTTAATTCAATTTAAACGAACTGTGTGTCAATTACATTTTTGGCAACAAGAACAAAAGGTCATTAATCTGAAGTACAGTGTTTCCATCTTAAGCCAGCACTGGGCATACATGACATGTCCTTCCATCCCCCAGGGTTTCATATGTGTGCGGCTGGCTGGTTAGCGAAAGGAAGAGTTGGCTATCCCATTGTCAAACCTGGAAGCAACTGTGGCTTTGGAAAGACTGGGATTGTGGACTACGGCTTTCGGCTCAACAGGAGTGAGAAGTGGGATGCTTACTGCTTCAACCCTAATGGTGAGTATGCAACAAACAACATTTTCGTAGTCAAAATATAAAAATAATAATTGCCCAGTAGCACCTTAGAGACCAACTAAGTTTGTTCTGGGTATAAGCTTTTGTGTGCATGCGATTGCAAATCTGTGTGCTTTTTAATACTCTCAAGAGAAATTCCAGAGCCAGTACTTGATTGCTCCTTTCTGGTGGGCCCCATTACATATTACATAATCCAAGGAACTCCATAGCAATGTAGCGCCTATTTCATAATCCGCTGGCGGTATTTTATGGAGTGGGGAGCCGCCCTAAATCACCTGCTTCTTTCCAAGTCAGCGGGGTTTTCCTTCCCCTCTGGTTAGCATAAATGTTCTGATTAGCAGAAAAACAAGTGCCCAGAGATTTGTGGATTTAAGCTTCTTATATTCAGGGCTGTGGTTGATAAATCCCCCCCCCCCGGGGTTCGTCTGTAGGGACAAAGGGATGGAAATATCTATTCAATACCCAACTTTTCATTGAAGTATATACTTTCTAGTTCTTAATTCAGCCTCCCTGAAATTCTAAGAGGCAAATTGTTGTTTTTATTTTGCAAATAAAGCTAACTGAAGATAAGGACACTTATGGGCAACAACTTTCCCAGTAATGGTAGTATCATTATCATCACCTACCAGACTCGGGGCAGCTAACACCAAATATATAATATATTAAAAACAGAAAATCAAACGATTAGTTTAAAATACAATTTGAAATCACATTTAAAATCAAAATAAAATTAACTTTTAAACAAAATTAAAAGTTCAGTGGATAGTACCTTGAAGACCAGCTACCTGCTAGCATAGGGATTTTGTGCCAGAGTGTCTAATCATACAGTTCTGAGTGGTTGCACACTAAGGATGGAACATCATATTATTCAGGAATTAAACTTCAGTAATTAAGCGGGAAATAAATAAGAACAAAAGATCCACAACAAGGATCTACTGCCAAAAATGACATCCCGTGTTGAGTTTTCCCATGTATCTTGTTGGTTCACTTGCCCCCATTGAGAGATCATGATGGTGAAAAAGAGAGAGAGAGAGAGAGATCATGATGGTATGTCTTGCTAGAATGGGGTCTGTGTGGAGAGGGTAACAACGTTCAGATTTTTGGGCATTGAATTACAAGAGGATCTGTCCTGGAGTGTCAACACAAGGAGGCTTGTGAAGAAGGCGGAGCAGAGACTGTACTTTTGGAGAATTCTAAGGAAAAACCATCTTCTGCAGAAACTGCTGCTTGCCTTCTATCACTGTGCCATTGAGAGCGTGCTCACTTATGGCTTATGTGTGTGGTACGGAAGCTGTACTACCCAGGACAGGATGGGGTTGTGCAGAGTTGTTAAGGCAGCAGAGAGCATTGTTGGCTGCCCACTCTCCACCTTAGAGCAGATTTATGCCACAAGGTGCCATAGGAAGGCACTGGACATAGTAAAAGATCCATCGCATCCTGGTCACTGTCTCTTCGAGCTCCTGCCGTCGGGACGGAGATACAGGACGATGAAGACAAGAACGAGCCGTCTTAAGAACAGCTTCTTCTCCAGAGCGATCTCGGCCCTGAATGGGAAGCCTGGACTTTGAAAGTCATCTAATCTTCCTTGCTGTATTATACTGTATTGTTTTAATTAGTGTTTTTATAGTCCTTTTGATTTTGTGTGGAGTGCCCTACCTTGGTGGATGGAGCAGCCAAGTAATTTCGTTGTCCCCGAGAGTGGGCAATGACAATAAAGATATTATTATTATTAGAAGCTACCAATGATATGGGGAAATGGATGGAAAATATACAGTGTGGTGTTGTCACATGGTCAGGGACCCTGCACATTTCAGCAGCAGCAGCTCCATATTGGGGATGATATTGTTCTCCAACAAACAATGGCTCACTAAAAGTCACCCAGCTGGCACAGAAATAAAGTAGGATTTAAAACAAGGTAGAAGTTAAAACAAGGTACAAGGTGCCAATTAAATCTGCATCACTAATTTGCTGCTTTGACCACTCCTTTCCCTTCCAAAAGCTCAGGGCAGACTTTGTGCAGTTTCCTATCGATGACAGCATCCTGGAGACCTCTGAAATCTTTGTGAACATCCCTTCATTTGCCAAATTTACTTCTTGAAAAGGAATTATGAGGAAAACAGCTGCTTGCGCAGGCAGGGCAAGTCCCCAGGCAGCATCAGTCCCAGAGTCCAGCAACGTCCAGGCTTACTTCTCTGCTCTCGCCAAGGCCTTGTTTTCTGCAGGCGTCAACTCTAAAATGACTGACATAGCCCTATGCTTGATTTTCAGGGAATCCCAATGCTTTCTGGCTAGCCTCCCAAACAGGCCTGAGGGACTCTCTGCTTTTCCAATGATTGCTTCTGTTATTTGGCCTCAGGCTGAGTACCCACAGCACTTCATTCTAGAATCAACAGAGACTGAGTACAGTGGTACCTCGGGTTACATATGCTTCAGGTTACATACGCTTCAGGTTACACACTCCACTAAGCCAGAAATAGTGCTTCAGGTTAAGAACTTTGTTTCAGGATAAGAACAGAAATCGTGCTCCGGCGGCGCAGTGGCAGCAGGAGGCCCCATTAGCTAAAGTGGTGCTTCAGATTAAGAACAGTTTCAGGTTAAGTACGGACCTCCAGAACGAATTAAGTACTTAACCCGAGGTACCACTGTACTTCTGCTGAGGGGCTTATTGACACTTCCTCTTGTCCCACTGGGGAAAACCGCTCTTTAGTGCTCAGTCAGAGCAAACTTCTTTTTTTATGGATTTGCATTTGCTCCGATTTAGCCCTAAAAAGCAGGTTTCTCTGAGAAAGGAGTGAGGCAGATAGACTCTGGGACAAGAGACTGCAATGGGCACAGTTCAGCCTTTTGTTGCATCGGGAGGGGGTCGCTGCGCTCTTCTGCAACCATGGCATAGGCAGAGTTTGCAAAAGCTGCAGAAGAAGTCAAGAAGCTGAAGACCCACCCAACAGATCAAGAAGTGCTGGATATCTACAGCCATTACAAGCAGGCCACAGTTGGAGATGTAAATACAGACCGTCCTGGGATGCTTGATTTCAAAGGCAAGGCCAAGTGGGATGCCTGGAATTCCTTGAAAGGAATGTCCAAAGAAGATGCAATGAAAGCATATATTTAAAAAGTGGAAGAGCTGGAGGAAAAAATATGGAATGCAATAAACCCCTTCCTGCATGCCTTTAAATGGAATAATGCCTTATTCTACTATCTTAAACTGTGTTACACAGTATGGTAGTGCCACTTTCCATAATTAACAGCTGTGTAAATTTACTTCTAATGGTTTGTATAATAAAGGTAAAGGTACCCCTGCCCGTACGGGCCAGTCTTGCCAGACTCTAGGGTTGTGCGCTCATCTCACTCTATAGGCCGGGAGCCAGCGCTGTCCGCAGACACTTCCGGGTCACGTGGCCAGCGTGACAAGCTGCATCTGGCGAGTCAGCGCAGCACACGGAACACCGTTTACCTTCCCGCTAGTAAGCGGTCCCTATTTATCTACTTGCACCCGAAGGTGCTTTCGAACTGCTAGGTTGGCAGGCGCTGGGACCGAACGACAGGAGCGCACCCCGCCGCGGGGATTCAAACCGGCGACCTTTCGATCGGCAAGTCCTAGGTGCTGAGGCTTTAACCCACAGCGCCACCTGCGTCCCAGGTGTATAATAAACACTACCAAATTCAGAAGAATGGGGGGGGGAGAAAGAGTGAGGTAAGGAGGGAAACTGCTCAGACTTAGACTCGTGCTTTCTATGCACAAGACAAGTGGAAATGTGGACAAGCGCAAAGTCTATATCTGTTGCACGCTCTTCTTCGCCCCTGAAAAGCATTTCTTGAGAATGAAATGATGACAAAGGGGCAGTAAAAAAGAAAAACAGTATCAAGGACAAAGCTTTATTGTTCTGTGCTACTTACTTTTATTTATTTTTTTAATCCCATGAGTAACAAGGTCAAATTATGTCTGCTGAATTATACCATTGGAGACGGTGTGCTGGAATTTAAGTGGTTTGGGTTTGGAGAACATGTGGGAGATGCTTGCCTGGCAGTGTCAGAAGAAGATTCCAAAATGATTGTTTGTTTTTTAAATGAACATGCATTCATGTGCCTATAAATACAGTAAATGCAGTCTTAAACCCCAAGTACAGTATATTGCTTTTCCTTTAACAGTGCTGGAATGTTTCATAGTGCATTTTATACTATAATAGCTCACCATCAAAAACAGCATGGTTTTCTGGTGCAGGAAACATTTTCTTTCCTTTTGCCATTTTGTAAATGCCATCATTGCAGCAACCAGGTTCACGTGTTTAGTACATGAAGCACTATGGTGACTAGCACTCTCTGAGAAATGGTGGGGGAAACCACACTCTGCAGTTATCAATGTGAAGTCAAAACAAAAAGCTGTGTGAATAAGCAGCTGAGTAACCTCTCAGGGGAGGAGAACCCTCACAGATGTTGAACATGTCAGGGAAAAGAGGGAGAGGCAACCTTCATTCTTAGAATTCAGATTAGTCAGCCTCTCTGTGCCTCCTGTTTGGCTGTCTCCTCTGAGAGGCAAGCTAGATCTTTTCCAAATGTATTGTTTGGGTGGTGAGCATCATTATCAAACCAAGTTGTTGACCTTGGCTGGTTTACATCTGTTCCTTTCATTCAGGAGGTGGGAATCTTCGTACTTTGTAAGTGATATTATTCAACTTGGAGGCAATAGCCAAACTTCCACTGTGGGGATAAAAGCAATGGTAATATTGCAGCATTGTTTTAGCCTACATTCGATGCACTTAAAGCACATTCAACACACATGTAAAAAGCACAAACTACAATTCCCAGGACTTACCGTATTTTTCGCTCTATAAGACGCACCAGACCACAAGACGCACCTAGTTTTTGGAAGAGGAAAACAAGAAAAAAAATATTCTGAATCCCAGAAGCCAGAACAGCAAGAGGGATCGCTGTGCAGCGAAAGCAGTGATCCCTCTTGCTATTCTGGCTTCTAGGATAGCTGCGCAGCCTGCATTCTCTCCATAAGACGCACACACATTTCCCCTTACTTTTTAGGAGGGAAAAGTGAGTCTTATAGAGCAAAAAATACGGTACTCTTTCAGCTTCAACCCAACCTGCAACGAGGGTCTAATACTGTGGGGAAACACTGTAGGGTTGTCATAAACCGCTCTGCAACTAAACTTTCATTCTAAAGGGGCTACAGACTTTCTTCTTCATTTAAAAAATGAAAGCTCAAAGTTGGGGCTCCCTGCTGGCTCTGAGTCTAGTAGAGCAGTACTCTTTATATCCTTCTCTTTGTAACCTGGTGAGCATTCTCCCTTAAATACTAGAAACACAATACAATATGATTATATGGATGTGGCACATTACAGTGATGGCAGGTGCCAGTATTAATTTTGGTTACCTGTGTCTCGCCGCAAGTCTTCTCTGACATTGTGACAGCCCAATTCAAAAGGCAAATTCCCTCTTGTTTTATTTCTCTCCTAGGAAAAGCCTGCGGTGGAATCTTCACAGATTCAAAGCACATCTTTAAAACCCCTGGCTACCCAAAGGAATATGAAAACGATCAAACTTGTTATTGGCATATAAGGGTGAAATACGGCCAACGGATTCAAATTCAGTTTCTCGACTTTGATCTTGAAGACGATACAGCGTGCATGGCTGATTACTTAGAAATATACGACAGCTATGATGACGTAAATGGTTTTGTCGGCAGGTAAAAGAATTTCCCATCTTTCTTAACATGTTACACGATACAGGGGCATGGAAACTTCATCCAGGAAATAAAAAGACTACCACCACATTTTATGCTCATTTAAACCACATGGCTTCCCATCCTGGTAATTATAATTTGTTAGAGGTGCCTGGAATTGTAGCTTTCTGAAAATTAAACTACACTTCCCAGGTTTTGCTGGGGGAAAGCCACATGCTATAAACATACAATGTAGATACGACACACATCTATTATTTGGATATGTTTATCCCACCCAGTCTCAGAGGTTCTGAACAATAACATAATTTATTTACACAAACAGCGAACTAAGAAGTGTTAATAACCACACACTTTTTCCAACTTCCCCCCACTCCTTGGTTTCTCGCCCTTTTAGATCCAATCCAGGAATCCTTCCAAACTCATTCATTGGAAGTATGTTGCAATTCCCAGTCAATCCCCACCCATTCCCCAACTCTGCAATTCCTCCAAAATATTAGAGCAGAGAGAAAACTCATCTCAGCTCATTTGTGGTCTCTTGCCTCTCATTCAAGTGACGTTATTGGACTTCCCATCAATGGGGGGTTTCCTCTCAATACAAATAATACCAGATTCAGATGAGTGATTTGCCCCAGGACCACAGCATGGGGAAACAGGTCTAAAACCCTACTCCATGCTTGCTCCGATCTCCTTATCAGCCCTCCCAGCTGACACAATTTGCATGTCTAAAAGCATGCAATCATCTATCAGTTGGCCTTCAGTTGATATTTCAGATAACCAGTTTTCCATCAACCATGCAAACAGAATTGCGCATGGCAAAGGGAGATTATCATCATGGTTAATACATTCAAAAGAAGCAAAGTTTTGTGTTATGTGTATAGGCCACTGGCCTTTTCGTTCCTTCATGTTAAATCCCAGTCCCTGAAAAGGTTCCTATTTGTGCCAAACATGACAAATCTGTTGAGAAGTATCCAAAATCAATTGAAGGACTTCAGCCACTTTGCAAATTACCATTGTTGTGGCATATGAGTTACTTCTATGTGATTATCTTACCTGATGTCTTCTACACATCATAATGGTGGCATCCTTCACGATAGATCACCCAGTGTAAGTTCAAGCTGATATCGGTCTGGCAAAGGCTTAGGTAGCCACTGCAGCAAGTGTGTTACTGAATTTTGGCTTGCCTATATTTAACCAGTAAATCAACTGTCATGTTTTTCAGGTATTGTGGAGACGAACTTCCAGAAAATGTAATCAGCACAGGTAATATTATACACATGCACACCTCCACACAACCATGGACTAAGACAATAACAGTTACTTCTCAGACTCTTAAGAAGTACTGCACAACAGAACATTCCATCCAGAGAGGTCGTCACAAAGGCCAATTCACAGAAGCAGAATGGTTGAAGTATTATAAACCTCAGCATTACTTCCTAGGGCAGGGATGGAGAACCTGTGATGGACTAAAAATCCCATCTTCCCTGGCCTTTGGGACTGATGGGAGTTGGAAGTCCAATAACATCACAAAGACAACAGGTTTCCCATTCCTGTCCTACTCACATGCTGAGTGGCATTTATTATCTTTGACAGTGTTTCTGAGTGCACTTAAGAGAAAAATGCTACCATGTGTTTTGGCAGAAAGAATGAGAAATTCAAAAATTCTTTGAAGTTTTATTTGTTTCCTCAATAGAAGTAATTTTTCTCTTTCTCTGTTTCTCGTCCTAGGTAATGTAATGACACTGAAGTTTTTGTCCGATGCTTCAGTAACGGCAGGAGGCTTTCAGATTAAATACATTGCTTTAGATACACCCAAAAAGAGTGATGGGAAAAATACAACTACCCAAGACAACAAAAATTACTTAGCTGGAAGATTTGGCATTGTATAAAAGAACATTGACATGAAAGAAGAATTTGCCTTGGATGTTTATTAAAGACATTCCCCTATCCCCAAGCACCAACTTGATGTTCCTCCCAGTGGATCCTATTCGCCATAATTTCCTGTTACCTCCTCCCAATGTGATCTCTCTTTTTTTGCTGATCTTCAGTGATCCATACCCCTTTGGACTGATGCTTCTCACCATCATGTGATTCCTCCCTTGACTTTATCTGCTTCTCTACCCGTCACCATAAATGGGTTAAAAAGCCTGTTGTTTTTGTTTCAAGTTTTTAGCTAAAGTTCCAAGGGGCCATGCAATTGTGTGCAAATAACTCCCCTTCCTGCTTCACAGCTGCTCAGAGATAGCCACTTTGAATTTTAAGCAGTGATCATTTCCTTGAGCCAAAAAGATGAAGAAATATTTACTCCTAGACCCTATAATCATTGTACTATATTTGATGTATTATTGAGATTTCTAAATATATATTTATCAAACATCAAGAGCCATGTTTTTCCCTTTTTGGGGGGGGGGAGGCCACTCTGTTTCCAAATTAAATTTAAAATTAAGGCAATTTATTTACTTAATTAATATGATGATGGAATCCTGACTCCATTTTCAGGTTTACAAGTTCCTTCGCAATCAGTAGAACGCCACTGAACTCAGACTACAGACTAATATTCACAGATTATGTGGAAGATGAAACAATCAAACCAGATTAAATTGTCAGTGATGTCTGAACTGGCCAACAAAACTACAGGTTCTAGTTCAGGAAAGTCAAGAATGGGACTCAGCAAAGGCCTCAAAGTAGATAATTAAAAACCAGTCTTCTGGAACCTGAAAAGTCATAGCTCAGTGGTAGAATCTATAAGTGCAGCATCCAACTAATGTGTCCCATCAGTGCAAGGATTTACACATGTGCAATGGAACACTCGGCTGCACCCTCCTCAAATCAGACTTTCACAAATTCTGGCAGACACACTGACCAACACTGACTGCCTCACATTCCACGGCATATCTCCTCCTCCTCCAGATGTGCCCTGATAAGGACACCAGTTGCTGGGGAGATACCTCTTTCCTAAGCAGAAGTTTTAGACATGCCTCAAGGATGCGCTTCAAGGCCATACTTCAAGGCTCATTTCAAGTTTGGCAATACACCAACAAACATCTGTTCTAGGGTTTTTCCCAACGCTGTGGAGCTGATTTGGGGAGCTTGTGGAATACACATGTAAATCCATGTGCTGATGAGACACAGCAGTTGGATAGCAGCCTATGCTTCACACACATAAAGCCAATCCTTGGCATCTGTCTGCAAAGGCCAAGGAAAGACCCGTCTGAAATCTTGGGCAACTATCAGTATTGATGATTCTGAGCTAGATGAGCCCATGGTCAGTCTAAGGTAGGGCTGCCATATGTCTAGAATTTCCCAGACATAGCAACCCATGTCAGAAGTGTCAAATTTTGCCGAATTTCCTCAAAAAAAAAAAAAAAGGGTCAAAAACTTCATTTTCTTCCCCTTGATATTTCCAAAAAAGCTCAACAACTTTTGTGTCCAGATTTTCACTTTTTAAAATATGGCAACCCTTGTATGAGACAACTTTTTGTATTCCTGCCAAGAACTTAAAACTGCGAGAAGCAATCTCCTTCATCATTGGTACAAAGGCTACTTAATGGGATGGGCAAAGTAGAAGTTATGGAGTTGCACAATAATATATCAAAGAATAAAGGCACATCTGTATCCCGGCAGGGGCAGGGAGAAGAACAGCTGGGAAGGGGAGTTGCCGTAGAAAAGCAGATGGGAAAAAAGGTTAAACACTCGGTCCTACCCACATCATTTTTCCAGTCCAAATTGCCTCTTTTGCTGAGCTGCTTTTCATTGGAAAGAACTGCCACTGGAGATTAAATACAAGGATATTCTTATGTAGCCTGTGATATGATCCTCTGCCATCCTGCTACAAGAACCAAATCTATAGATAGACGCTACTAATCTCTGCCATCTAGTGGTCTCAGTGAATCCCCTCTATTCCTAGTTCCTCTGGTGATTGATGTTGCATAGAGGGGAACAGAACTGCAGCCCTACTCAGAGATTTCAGTGCCTAGGATCACAAATAGGCACAGGTTATTTTGTATGCCTCTGCCAGCCTAGCAGTTACAGCTGCAACCTTGCAAACAATTTGGTATTAATAAGCGCTGGGTTTATTTATGTTCTAGCAGTTCAGAATCCCCACAGACACACAATAATGCAAAGGTCCCAAAGCTTTCAAAAATGTAATGCCTACCGAACTTTTCAGTGTATCACAGCTAATATTACCTATGATAGTAAAAACAAGAGAAAGCTTCCAAACATCTCAGCACTGCATCGTAGAGCAATCACATGAACCTGAGGCTTGTCAATGTGCCTTTCTATAACAATGGCCATGGTTTAACTTTTATTTATTTAAAATGTTTCTTAATATTTTAAGATCATGTGGATGCAAGTACTTAATTAAGGCTTCTGGGGTAAGGTTTGCTTTTAAGCTTGCCTGGCCTCTGCAGCTGGCTACCAAACTCAGGTGCTTAACTAGCTCCTCCCCTCTGTCTTGATGCTTTGTTACTGATAATAATAATAATAATAATAATAATAATAATAATAATAATAATAATTTATTATTTGTACCCCGCCCATCTGGCTGGGTTTCCCCAGCCACTCTGGGCAGCTTCCATAGAAACCAAAAAACACTAAAATATCATACATTAAAAACTTCCCTGAACAGGGCTGCCTTAAGATGTCTTCTGAATGTCAGGTAGTTGTTTATCGTTTTGACATCTGGTGGGAGGGCGTTCCACAGGGCAGGTGCCACTACCGAAAAGGCCCTCTGCCTGGTTCCCTGTAGCTTTGCTTCTCGCAATGAGGGAACCGCCAGAAGGCCCTTGGCGCTGGACCTCAGCGTCCGGGCAGAACGATGGGGGTGGAGACGCTCCTTCAGGTATACTGGGCCGAGGCCGTTTAGGGCTTTAAAGGTCAACACCAGCACTTTGAATTGTGCTCGGAAACGTACTGGGAGCCAATGTAGGTCTTTCAAGACTGGTGTTATGTGGTCTCGGCGGCCGCCCCCAGTCACCAGTCTAGCTGCCGCATTCTGGATTAGTTGTAGTTTCCGAGTCACCTTCAAAGGTAGCCCCACGTAGAGCGCATTGCAGTAGTCCAAGCGGGAGATAACTAGAGCATGCACCACTCTGGCGAGATAGTCCGCAGGCAGGTAGGGTCTCAGCCTGCGTACCAGGTGGAGTTGGTAGACAGCTGCCCTGGATACAGAATTGACCTGCGCCTCCATGGACAGCTGTGAGTCCAAACAGTGGTACCTCTGGTTACGTACTTAATTCGTTCCGGAGGTCCATTCTTAACCTGAAACTGTTCTTAACCTGAGACACCACTTTAGCTAATGGGGCCTCCTGCTGCCGCCGCACGATTTCTGTTCTCATCCTGAAGCAAAGTTCTTAACCTGAGGTACTATTTCTGGGTTAGCAGAGTCTGTAACCTGAAGCATCTGTAACCTGAAGCGTATGTAACCCGAGGTACCACTGTACTCTAAAATACTGCCTCAAATTAATATCCAGGTTAGTTGATAGAAAGACTATCATGTTTCTCTTTACTTCAAAAAAAGTGTGCATGCTTAGCCTAACAAACATTATGCAGCCCAACCAAATGACTCTGCTGCTATACAATGCCCAAGACTACAATTAGAGATGATTTGAGGGCATGAAAGATCCTTTGGCTCCTTTATGAGTACTAAAGGTCACTTGAATTACCCTTGGCAGTGCAGAAGTCTGACCCACTTTAAGCTTGGATAAATCTAGAATTCAGTTTTAAACTGAACTTTAATCTTAGCTAAATCCATATTACATCTACACATGAATTCTAAATCCAACTTTAAACCCTATACACACTTAACTGGGAATGTCCCATTGAACTTAATGGAGCTGGTATGGGGAAAACCACATTAAAACATAGTATTTCACACAATAAACACAGGATACAAGATTATGGATTATGGCTAAAGTCATATTGTGGGTAATGTTGTGTGTACACTGCTTCCCAAATCAGAGATGGAAGTGTATTGGATGGCAAGTAAACAACTGTATGTACCGTATTTTTCGCACCAAAACACTCACTTTTTTCCTCCAAGATAGTAAGGGGAAATGTCTGTGCATGTTATGGAGGGAATGCCTATGGGTGGCAGGGGGGGGGATCTGCTGCAGTCGTGAGCAGAGGATCCATGGTTCCCCTTCCTTCCTTCCTCTGTGGCTCGCTTTGAAACAGCAAAGTGGGAGAAGAGAAGAGCCGCTGAGTGGGGAGGAGAGAGGGACAGAGAGCCTGCTTCTTTAAAGGAGCAAAGCGGCTCCTGTCCGGTTGTGTAAGCGGCTCCTGTCTGGTTGGTTCCTTTAAAGCAAGCAGGCTCTCTGTCCCTCTCTCCTCCCCACTCAGCTCGCTACATAGCAGCAAAGTTTTTCAGCTCGTTAAGCCGGGGATGAGCAGGGAGGAAGGAGAAAAGCAGAGCCTGCTTGCTTTAAAGGAGCAAAGTGGGAGAGGAGAGGAGCCTTCTCCCCTTATACCCCTCTTCTGCATTATTAGCAGCATCCTTCTCCACACACCCCACATGTGCTCCTTGTCCCTTGAGTGCTTTTCCTTCCCTCCCCACTTAAAACGTGGTTACAAAGCACAGATCCACATGGATCCTCAGGATTTTTGCAGTGGTGCAAAAACGTGGTTACAAAGCATGGATGCTCAGGATTTTTGCATTGGGCTACTCCAAACTCACTGTCAGATCACGTGTCTGTGGCCACAGCACGAACCACAAAAATCATACATCCACTGTTTCATTTAAAATATATTTTTTTCTTGTTTTCCTCCTCTAAAAACTACGTGTGTGTTATGGTCGGGTGCGTGTTATAGAGCGAAAAATACGGTATACTGCCTGAGTCAGACCATTGTGGTCTCCACAGGGCACCTAAGCTTAGAAGAACCAACTCTGTGATTCTTAAATAAAAAAATAATTTATTTCAATTTGGATACCCAAAATATTCAGAAGCAGCAGCACAAAAACATGAAGGTGAGAGGCCGGTCCAGAGATTAATGCATTGTATACTTGTTGTTAATGGACAATCCTTTTAAAATGTTCATTACAGATAGTACCAAATAATATTGTGGGTGGGGAAGAGATTTTAACATACGACATCCACTCACAGAAGTGGATGGGGGAGAGCGGTATAACGGAGCAGACCCGATTTATATAAAATGAGTTTTCTGTATTCTCATTTGTTTTCGTTAATTTTTCCATTGGGGCAATACCGCACATTTGTCCATACCAATATCCCACCATACTGGTATCGTAAATCTTCCTCTTTCTTTTTTGCAATTAGGTTCTGTAGAACCTCCCCTCCCTTCTGCTCAAAAATTGCAGGAAGTACTATTTAGGGGGACCATTGCCAACCTTTGGGATATAATCAGACCCATTTCTTCCAA